ATCCGGCTACTGCCAGGATCGGAGGAGGACCCTACAATCACAGTCATGCTACAATAAAAATAATTATTCTGCACGTACGTGTACTATACTGCTGTACTATACTCAGGGCCGGTGCATAATCATTATGGTAGACGTCGACTTTTTTTTGTAGTGTGGATCTAGCACCCTCACTGCCAAAACCGGAATCCGAATGTCACAACTGTTGTGTTGATGGAGGCCGTACTCCGTACTGTAGAGCTATAGTGTAGTAGAGTTGACACTTTGCAGTTGTGCAGAGGATCACCGATCAGTGGACGTGGAGGAACCAGTTCCTGTACCTGGATCAGCAATTCTACCTGTCGTTGTTGTTGCTTTTTTCTCTGGTGGCCAGAGATCGGTGCATGTACAGAGGTCCTGCTGCCGGCATGGAGTACCGATTCTAGCTAGCTGGAGTAATACTAGTATGTACGTGCTCGCACGTCAAGCTAAATAAAAATGCAGTACTGCCAGTAGTGACTAGTCGTTGGTGAAGACTCGCGACCAGTTTCCGGGTGTGTGTGTGCTCAGCCCAATCTGCTCAAAGTCAAATCCTGCGCAGCACCGGATCCCGGACCGGAGTCGAGTGGTGATCGGCAGGCCAGGGCGCGGCACGGGCGCAATGGGCCGTTCCATCACCTGTGTATTGTGGCGAGGCACGGTGTGCGTCTTCGCTCTATTTATGACATCCGGGCTGCTACTTCTGGAAGTCGCAGCAGCAGCGGCTGCTGCGGCAGCGTCGACGGCTGCGACTGGAACAGCAACTGCAGGTAGCCTTTAATACATCAAACAATCATATCGCCGAGGTGCTTTATCCAAGGTCAAATGACTGGTACATGGTGGTGCAAAATTCCTCAAATATTATGTTTTGGATTAGATAAAAGCACTACCCTTCAGGGCTTTGCCCTATTTATTTGACCATCGACGCATCCTTGGATAAAGCACCTCGGATATAACGTACAGATTTCTATGTCCCCTTGGAGGTACGGAAAACTGAAGTTTCACTGCAGTACTATTCCATGCAAGAACAAGAGGATTGAAAAGTTATTTTACTCCGAGTTTCACGCACTAAGCGAAGTGATCATCTGATGATCGCTTAGTGCGTGAAACTCGGTATTGAGCACTGCATTGGACAGCCTGGAACCTCTCTGTTTTACAGCAGTATTAAATACATGTATTGTGAAAAGAGTGTGCAAGGCACCAATAGTGTGCAACTCTGGATTCTCTTTATACCGTGCCGAACACCAGACGGTAGATTCAATGCGCATTGAACCTGGTGAGCTGACTCCGAATCTACAAGACGTGCGCTGAAAAGACTACGCAATTTGATCATACTTAGTTAGTCTTCTGCCAAAAACAATTTCCCAATAAAATGCTCCGTGGGCGTCCCTGAGACCTGGTGGTGATCGTCAATGTGTTTCTTCAGACTTTCCCCATTTGCAACTTTCCCTGAAACTATTCGAAAAATGTTCGATCGTGTGTTATCCCTACTTCTAACTTATCAATTTCATTCTCACCAAATATAACCTGTATACTTTCTCTCGCAGTGTAAACTTGAAGCTGTTTGTGTTTGTTTTTAGGTGTCTATCTCGTTGCACCAGTCCTCTTTTAAGCACGATATTTACCCCCCCCCCCCCCCCCCCCCGCTCTGCATCATGCCGCACAAATGCTGCTACCCGCGGTCAAGCTTCAGCCGCTCTGAACCTACCCAGAGCTACGTCTCGTTACAGCCTGAATGCTATTTCATTTTTGGCAGCAGACAGATGGAACATGCTTCCACCTGGATGTCGTCAAGCTAAGCCCCTTTCTGCATCTGTCACAAGCACCAAGTCATTCCTAGGGTTCCCTAGTAAAATAATAAATTCTACTACTACTACTACTACTACTACTACTACTACTACAACTATCCCAATGCTGCTCAAGATAGGAGTTGCACACTACTAGTATTCGTTATGCACTGTTGGTAACAGCAAGAGTACCCCCCCCCCCCCCCCCCCCGGTCCAGGGAGTGTGCAGCTCCCACATACGGTGCGGCCCTCCAGTTGACTTCATTGTCATGATGCAATGCTTCTTGCACGCACAATTTCCCCGCATCCGACCCGCCACACGCGTTTGCTGGCACACGTTTGTACAGGTTTAAATGGTGTGGTGTCTGCCCCTGGTCTTGGATACATCCGTGTAAATGTGGAAATGCATGTACACTGAAAATCGTGGCGGTACGGCATCAAGGCAGTACGATATACATGTACATGTGGACATGTATCGTACTGCCGCAATTTTCTAAAGTGTACATATGTTTCACATTTACAGCAGTGATTTCTGCTATGGTTGATTTCTTCTATGGTTGATGTCTGCTATGGTTGATTTCTGCTGTGGCTGATTTCTGCTATCTCTTAATTTGCTAAATCCTATATATAGGATTTTGGTCATATTTTTCAACTCAAAATGGGTGTGGCACGAGCATAGGGAAACGTATGTGACCAATTCTTCCTTGCTAGGTCTTAGTAGATATTGAGAGTTGAATAAGATAACTTTTTCAAACACTAACATCTCAGGCTCATCTCCTTGCTCAATATTACTAAGGCCTGTGCCCTATTTTTCGAATCCTATATATAGGATTTGAGATTTTATTGGACCTTGTTTTATCCTTAAAACTGGTAGTTTCATGACGGCATGTGCGATATGTCGTCATGAAACCACCCCGTGCCACACCTGCAATGTTCTTCTGCACATTCACTGCTTCAGTCCTTTCCATGACAGCAGCTGAACAATTATGCTCAAATTTCAAATTATTGCTGAAAATGGGTATTCATCGGAAATATTATCGCCCTATGAATCTAAAATGTAAACATTCATGCCTCAAACATATTTACAACTTCCATGAAAACCATTATGCCGTTATTATTGGTCGTGATCACCAATAACAACGGCATAAAACGCACATATTTTCAAATCATATATATAGGATTTTGGGTGAGCAAATTAAGAGATGGTTGATTTCTGCCATAGCTGATACATCAGTGCTATGCTATGCTGCTGATTTCTCGTTCCGCAGGTGCACCATGCTCGTCTCAGGAGATTCTCTCACCGGAGAACTCACTGTCGCTGTCATCACAGCTACTGAGCAGCTCATCCAACGCTCAGTGTGGACCTGCACAGGGAGAACATCAGGGTATTGTGGCTCGGGCTGGTGATGGTAGGCTGAATGCACACATTGGTTGTGGAGGCTGGATACCGTCTGGCAGTAACAGCACCGAGTATTGGCAGGTCAGGAAAACTGTGTGTGTGCGTGTGGGGGGGGGGGGGGAGGGTGAGTGTATGGTGTGTGTGTGTGTGTGTGTGTGTGTGTGTGTGTGTGCGTGCGTGCGTGTGTGTGTGTGTGGTGTGTGTGTGTGTGTGTGTGTGTGCATGCGTGTCTGTGTGTATCTGTGTGTGTATCTACCTGTCTGTCTGTCAGTCTATCTGTGTGTGTATGTGTGTGTGTGTGTGTGCGCGCGTGCGTGTACTCGAAATACATGGGTACCCTATTGCCGGTATCGGCTATGCCAGTATGTACACACAGGAATATACAAGGTGTATGTGTCTGCAATTCTACTTAGAAGAAGGACACACTTCAGACTCCTGAACATCTTGAAAGTTTTCACTAGTGTACTTTCATGCCTTATCATCATGTGAAGTACAGGCAAAATGAAATGTTTTCAACATGTTCAGTCTGAAATGTGTCCTACTTCTAGGTATAATTGCTTTCTTGTCTCCCAGGAAATTGTATGTGTATATATTGTCCATATCCGTTCATGCAATTTTGTATCAGACAAAAGGACCAATTGTGCAACACTTGGAGTCGCACTGCTCAGTAGATCATATTGCTGACCATGGTCTGACTGTGTTGCAATCTACGAGTTGTCAAGTGCCTGACAGGTCTTGCGTGTTGTAATGTTTGGGCTGCTCTGTTACAAATACCCAAGTGAACCGGGGGCGTCGGAAGGTATTTTAGTGTGGTACGGTCAGCCATCTGAAGTACAATTTACTCGTGGGGGGGGGGGGGGGGGGGATGGCTGAGCCGAAACATTTGACAATTTAGAGCCCACATCAGTGTATTATAATTATTGATTCACGGGGTACCTATTAAGGCCAAAAAGTGGTACGGTCAATACCGCAGTGACCGTACCGTGTTCGACGCCCCTGCAAGTCACACTTGCACACTCACTCTGGGTGCCATTACAGGGTTGCCACCTGTTACGAATTTTTGGAAACGCTCCTATTGTGACAGGTCCGTCCGAAAATCTGCTTCACTATCTTGCTTGGATTGTTCAGGAAAGTGCCTGATCTGATGTTTGCAACTCTTGAAATCCTAACAAGTGCTTTGGCTTGTAAATAGGGCGCTGCCTCACTTCATACCCCCACCCCACCCTCCCTCCCACTAGCCGAGGGTTGACCTGTTCAGACTTCTACTCCCAGAAAAGTGGCAGCCCTTGGTTTACGAACTCTTGCTTTTTTACTGATGGTGCTTTCCAGGTGGACTTTCTCCAGCCTGAACTAGTCACCCAGCTGACAGTGCAAGGCTTTGTGCACCGCTACACTGGACAGTCGTACTCGGTGACGTCACTACGCGTGTTGCTTAGCAACGACAGTGTGCATTTCACTGCCGCAGAGGTCGGCACGCCAGTCTACCGCGACGTGTCCAGCGCTTCGGCCGTTGCTGTGTTTGATATTCACGTCGTCGGCAAGCGAGCTGCCCGCTATGTCCGCCTCACGCATCTAAGCCGTGCCAGCGCTCCCCACCGTCTGGGCATGCGAGTGGGATTGTACGTCTGCGGCATGCCAGCCTCCATGAAAGGTACTTGCAGACATGCCTGTGTGTAGCGTTGAGTACGTTCACAAGGGAAAACAATCTACACAATTTCAGTGCACACTTACTTTCTGCCATGATAATTCCTCTCCATGGCATCAAAGTGGGGTGCTCCCGGGAGTCGGGGCATTTACTTCACTGTGTTTCACTACGTAATTATGATGCGCTTGGTGACTCTGAGATCTACTGATAAGGCTTTTGAGGTGAAAGGGTTGAAACAGCAATATGTTACATTTGCAGTGATTGAGTGTTCTTGCAGTGCATCGTCTTTCATGCCATGGGTTGTGTTCTACAGTATGACTAATTGCAACATTCGTGTCATTGTCTGCCCTCATCATGCGCACGCACACACACACACACACACGCACACACACACACACACACACACACACACACACACACACACACACACACACACACACACACACACACACCGTGAACACACACACACACAAACACACACAGCCATGGCAGCATGCAACAAGCCTCTGGGCCTGGCACTGGACAGCATCATCCCGGACTCAGCCTTCACCTCCAGTAGCTACGACCACTACGAGGGCAGCAACAGCAGCAGCAGCATTACCAGCAACAACAATGACACGGATCGCTTTGCACCATACCAGGCACGGATTCGACCCACGATCGACGACGATGGATCATCGGCTTGGTGTGCCGACAGCAATGCAACCGGCCGTACGTATCTTCAGATTGACCTTGGCCAGTCGCTTCTTATCAGTGCACTGGAGCTGGAGGGCTACCGAGATTCAAACGGCACCGGACCACTGTCAGGTTACCATGGCGTCGATCAGTTCTCCGTGTTGCTGAGCAACAGCAGGGGATTTTCCCACGACTTTGATGTGGTGGTGCGGGTGGACTTTCTCGGGAATGAACAAGTTGAGGTAAGAGAGGTCCAATGACGTGCTTGTGTCATCAAATTGTATGTCGCTCTCACTATTTTGCTCATGGCTTCACATCTTATCCCTGTCACTGCATATGGGTAGAAAACAGGGAGTTGTAAAGGTATTGTACGACTCCCTGGTAGAACACGTACATGGCATGCTGCCAGTGGAACCAGCACGGCCAACATCATGTGACCCCGTGATGCAGGAATCCACTGGTGTTGGAGCCAACATCATGTGATCCGGTGATGCAGTGATGCAGTGATTCACTGGTGTTGGAGCCAACATCATGTGACCCCGTGATGAAGGGATTCACTGGTGTTGGAGCCAATATGGCTGTCCCACACGGTCATTTAATCGACTTGTGTAACAGCTGAAAAGTCCCGCTGGTGAACACTTCCAACTTACTTGTCCATGTCCACAATTGTGTCGGCACGTATAGCAACCGTACAAAACTTAGCCTTTCTGATACGCTTGCTGAAGTCCTTATGAAAGCCAGTTATGATGAATGATGGCTTCTCCCTTCTCTCCCCCCCCCCCCCACCGTATGTTTTGTATGATCGTGATAAATGGCAACAACTATGGGCACCAACTTTCCATACGAAGAAAGTGTCTGCTCCGAACGTCGGAGCTATTTTTCGCAACTTTCCCTACAATATCCAAACTAGAAATGTTGGGAGTCAGTAACACCAAAGATACAGAAAAAGACATGGGTATAATTACCACACTCGTAAAATTAGTTTGAGGGATTAAGTTAAAACGGGGAAAAGGTCGCATGATAAAAATTCTCCACAATGGTTGATGATGTAACTGCCTATGACGTTAAATTTTCGGCTGTTGAATTTTAAAGTCGCAGCACAAACAGGCGCTAACACGTTCTTTGATCAGTGCAGCAGATACCTCACCCTGTGTTTTTCCTCTGTCACACCGACCTTGCTCCAGGTGTTCACGGGCCCCCAGCAGCCGCAGGACCCACAGCCGCTGCGGCAGGCCTTCCTGCAGCCTCTCCGGGCACGCTTCGTGCGCCTGGTCGGCTTTGGCAGCCGGCGTACGGTGTGCGTTCGGATGGAAATGTATGGATGCAAACCGGCCGCGTACGACGGACCGGAACTACCCCTTGTCCACGCAAATTCACCGACGGTCGAAGTATCAACAGTTTTTCCAGCCGCAACGACACATCGCCACAGCACGCTGGGAAAGTCCCTGACAACGGGTACTCGCATTGGGATTGCGACGGGCGTGCTGTGCGTGCTAGCAATCCTGGGTTCAATCCTGGTGATGCACACACGCTACTACTGTGCCAGGAAGCGGGAGATTGCACGCTGTACCCTTGATGAAGTCATCAAGCCGCTACGACGCAGCGAAAGGTCAGTGCATTGTTGTTGATTTTTTTCGATTTGCTGACCAACACAAACTATCCAGTGACAGTGGTGCGGATAAGGAGAGGCACCGCAAGTGCCATGCATCACAGTTGTGTATGCATTTGAAGTGTGTGTGGGGGTGGGGTTGCACCTGGTGGCATGAGTGCGCAAGTGCGTTTGCGAGTATGTTAGTGTGTGTCTATGTGAACGTAATGCACCTGCATGTGTGTGGGTGTGTGTGTGTACGCGTGCGTGTGTGTGCGTGCGTGTGTGTATATGTGTGCATGTGCATGTGTGCGTGTGTGTGTGTGTGTGTGTGTGTGTGTGTCCCATATGGTGCAGTGGTATGTGCAGCGATTTCCAATCGATAGGTTGCGGGTTCGATTCCCGACGATTATGGTCACACACGTCTTTCTTCTCTTTCTCAGACTCTTCCTGACTTTTCTTTCATTCTCCTGGGTGGTTACCAACAGCCAGTGCATGCCGGAGTATGTGGTGTGATGTGTGTGCGGGAAAAAAAAAAGAAAAATGAAAAGACCAAAAATAGGGATTCACTGGCCAGAAAAAGTCACTTCAAAATAGCTGTATGGTGTAGACCAGGCTGAATAGTGACGGTCAATTCTTCAGCCTTGCAAGCTGTTGAATGGTGCAATCCCAGCACAAGTTGCTATGGCTTCTGCCGTAGCATTGCTATCATCGCCTCCGGCGATGGGCGTCAAAGGTCAAGGTCAAAGGTGTGTGTGTACTGGAAATGCGTTAGGGGTGAAACGAGTATATCGAATACTCGAGCGCTCGCTCGAAAATTTGAAACGAGCGAGTACTACTCGTTTCGCAAAATACTCGAAGTATCCTATGTACAGTGTATTGTATGTAGTACTAATTGTATGCATGTACATCAAGCATTTCTGCTACTCCAACCGATACTGATGGTCTATGCAAGCGCGAAATTATTGCTTGTCCGTACTTACCAGCTAAAGACAGTAGTTCAGACTATTTCCTGAACTAGGCTGCATGCAAGACCAGGTGTACGACGTTCGGTGTTGCGAGAGTGTCACGGTGCAGTGCATTGTTTTATGTTGTCAGTAAAATACTCGTACTCGCTCGAATACTCGCTCGTTTTTTCAAAGAGAACTCGAGTCCCCAATTTTGGCACTCGTTTCACCCCTAAAATGCGTGCGTTTGCTTTTCTCTGTGCAGGCAACGACTGATGTCGACAGACTCAGCGGAGTCGGCATTGATTGAACTGTAACCAATACGCATTTCTCCCCCCCCCCCCCACCTAGTGCAGCTACTACAAGTACATCATTCGCATCACCTTGAGACAACCGTCATTTTCTTGAAGATTGCGCCGAACACTAAGTTATGTTCTCTTTTCAAACACACACATACTCACAGATACACACAGATACACACAGACGGATAGACGGACAGACAGACACACGGACAGACGGCCGGACGGACACACACACACAGACAGACACGCATGCACACACAAAAACAGACAGACACACACACCCATACATACGCACACACACACGCACACACGCACACACACACACACAGCGCCAATCTGATGCCGTGATCTCCGTATCTCTCTCAATTTCGCCGCGCACACATACAACCAGTCTAAAGGAAGTATGGACGCGGGTATAAGTTATGAGCTGCACTTTGCAAGTTTTGTCGCCGGCTTTATTTATCTTGTGCATACTAGTATTTCAAATTTGGTCAGAAATTAACGCTTGCATCCACAGTTTATGCCTTCAACGCCAGCTTAATTTATCCTGTAGGTCCCCGTGGTTACTATAGCAACCCAGCCGGCAGTGCATGAAAGGAAGAGAGAAACTAGTGTGCACGGGCAGGCTGGGTTCCCATAGCAACCTCTGTGACCTGATAATCCCATCGAACGTACCGGTATTGCAAAATCATTTTGTTGTGATCATCGTTGACGTCCTGCTTTTGCTACACGGTACGTGCGTGCGTGTGTGTATGTGTGTGTGTGTGCGCGTGTGTTTTGCTTGCACCTACGCTGGTGCGGGAACTGGTGCGTATTGATGAGTTTCTTCTTGGCACCCAGTCCCCCAGTCAATCTCTCTGCTAGTGTGATCATGCCGTCAGTTTTCTGACTCTTGCAACCCCCACACGCACACCCACACCCACACCCACACCCACCCACACCCACACACACACGCACACCCACACCCACACACACACCCACACCCACACCCACACCCACACTGACTCTAACTTACCGTACTGGTAATAGAGCTTTTTCAAGGATGCCTTTTTCCCCGCCACCGCCCCGGCGATCACCCCGAGATTGTGGTGAACAGGTCGCATGTCGAAATGCATTGAAAACGGCATACGAAATGTGACAGGTTCGTCTCCACCGGCGCTTGGAGCGATTCTGAAGCTTGTTCTTTTTCGCCCAAGCCATGGAAGGGCTTCCTGGCAACTGCTCAGACTCAACACAAGTGTTGGACATCAAGTGGAGCGCCATTATAGTGCTTCTTTCACCTCCATGCATCCATTCCCGTACAAAGTGAACACTTCCATGCATCCATTCCCATACAAAGTGAACACTTCCATGTATCCATTCCCCTATAAAGTGAACATGAACTGGGCTTAACCTGTTCACCAGCCATTCGAAAATTTCTCGCACATGACCCCAAAAAGTGACCGTCGTCGGTACAACCTTGAAAAAGATCTATACTCAGGTTGAGGTGGGGGGGGGGGGGGGCATTGGCTCGTGTACAGTATACAGGTCAAATATTTACCAGAAAAAATATCGATACTACGAAGTAAAGTGAGCGCACTCATGCCATGACACCGATGGAACAATATTCTAAGATTCGAACGTCGTTTTCATGTGATTTGTCAGCAGAAATCGTCATCATTCTTGTATTAGTTTTAGATAATAATGTTCACTTCATGGTGCCATACAAATCTTTCCTTTGTAGTCCAACTCTCATGGGGATGACGATATCCGATGATAATCACAAGAAAACGACGTTCAAATGCTTCAATACTATTCCATTGGTGTCGTGGTATGAGTGCGCTCACGTTATTTCTATCGATATTAGATTTCTTGTCTCCACGCCGCCTTTTTAAGAAAATTAACTGACTGAATCGAAACATAAAAACTCATTGTCACACATTCACATACATGTGCACGATAATGGAGGCTCATGACCCAAACGGGATCAAAGCTGCAAGTTCTTCCAGCTGTCTGTCAATGAAGATCTTCTCTAGCTCCTTTCGGGACTGAACTTCCACAACGGTGAACGAGTCGAAT